TTAGCATACAAGAGGTGCTCATTTTGACATTTCCATAGTTGGATATAATGTAACCATTAACATTGCCACCTCTTATTAGTCTCTATTATCTCCCCTCCTCCCATCTTAAAACAATTTCAACTGTTTTTATTGTTTCATTTCAGAGTTTTAAGCAGAATAACACAATCTGACGTATGCATTATAAGATGGTCAAGCCCAGCACCTGTGGCTCACTCTGTAATCCTTGCTACTCAGGAGGCTGAGATCTGAGGATTGCAGTTCAAAGCCAGCCCAGGCAGGAAAGTCTGTGAGACACTTATTTCCCTCCAATAAAGCACAAGAAAACCTGAAGTGGTGCTGTGGCTCAAGTGGTAGAGCACTAGCCTTGAACTGAAAAGCTGAGGGATAGCACCCAGGCCCAGAGTTCAAGCCCCATGACCGACCCCCCCCCCCGAAAAAAAAGATGTCAATTAAGAATTTATAATTCTGTAAGTCAGTCTTGGTCTCCCCATTTTCCATCTCCCATTTCTAACCCCAAGTTATGCAATTTAATTTTTATAATGTGCATTGGCAGTAATTACTATATTTTCTCACCTTTCCTCCCTCCATTCCTGTGGCCCCATTTGTCCTTTTCCCCCAAATAGTTCCACTTCAGTTTGTGTTTATATGCATATAGCCCCATATGTGCTGTTATGCATGTTTGTATGTTAGATCTTGCTTCCACATATGAGAGAAATCATGGTGTTTGTGTCTCTGAGCCTGGCTTTTACTTAACATGTTTTTTTTTTCTTTCTGGGTCCATCCATTTCCCTGAAAATGACATATGTTTTCCTACTGCATGATAAAATTCCATTGCATATATGTATCACATTTTCTTGATCCACTCACTTGTTTCAGGGCAACCGTGTTCTTTTCATAATCTGGCTATTTGTGAATACAACAGAAATAAACAGAGATGTGCAAGTGTCTGTCCTGTCTTCCAACTGGTAATGCTCTAGGTAGATTCCCAGGTGTGGTATTGCTGGATCATAGGGTGGTTCTATGTTTAGTTTTTTGAGTAATCTCCAAACCACTTTCCAGAATGGTTATACTAGCTTATATTTCCACCAATAGGATGATAGGGTCCCCACGCCAATCCTTGTCAGCATTTATTATTGTTCAATTCTTGATGCTTGCCAATCTTATTGGGGTGAGATTGAATCTTAATGTTGTTTTGATTTGTATTTATTTCCTTTATAACCAGTGATGTTGAGAATTCCTCGTGTGTTAATTGGCTGTTCTTCTGAAGCCTCTAGCTCCTTTGCCCATTTAGTGACCAGGTTACTCATTGGAAGCAGGAAGAGGGCTTTAGTTTCTTGAGCCTCTTTTATATTCTGGATATTAAGCTTTGTCAGGTGTATATTTGGTAAATACCACCTCCCAATCTTTTTTTTTTTTTTTTTTTTTTTGGGTCCGGTCGTGGGCCTGAACTCAGGGCCTGGGCGCTGTCCCTCAGCTCTTCAGCTCAAGGCTAGCGCTCTACCACTTGAGCCACAGTGCCACTTCCGGCTTTTTTCTTTGTGTTTATGTGGTGCTGAGGAATTGAACCCAGGGCCTCATGCATGCAAGGCAAGCACTCTACCACTGAGCCACCTTCCCAGCCCCACGTCCTCTCAATCTATTGACTGTCTTTTTTTGTCCTTTGCTGTGCAGAAACTTTATAGTTGGGTGTAGTCCCATTTCTCAAGTTTCTCTTATTTGCTGAGCCATTTTGCCAGTGTAAAAGATAGCCAACTTTAAAAATAAGCAGTAGAGATCAAGTATATAGAACCATGGAAAACAGTTGCTTTTTGACAAAATGTATGTGACAGATGAAGGTGATGATAGGATGTTGGTAGTGGAGAATGAATGTCTGTGAGGCTTGGGGTGCTTCTTTTTTGATGCTGATCCTAGGGCTTGAACTCAGGGCCTATGTGATATCCTAGAGCTTCCTTCCACCCTCTACCTGCATGTGCCCCTGATCACCACCCCAAAGCTAGTGCTCTAACACTTGAGCCAAAGCTCTATTTCACCTTTTGGGGGGTATGCATAATTGCAGATTAGAGTCTCTTGGACTTTCCTGCCAAAGCTGGCTATGGACTGCATTCTTCAGATTTCAGCCTCTTGAGTAGCTAGGATTAGAGGTGTAAGTCACCCCAACCTAGGTTGGAGTGCACTTTTTTAAGGCAGCGAGTACACTGGATATAATATGTGATGTAATAAAGGAGTCATGAGTTATTACCAAAGTTTTGGCCTCAGCACTTAAACCAATGGAATTACCATTAGCTAAGATGGGGAATTCTGTGGGAGAAACGTTTTTGTGATTGTGGTGGAAGTGAATATGGTATGATTTACAAAGTGGCATTAAAAAAATTTTTTTTTCCTATTAGGACTAAAGTTGGCTTCAGTAACTGCTTATGGTTTCCTTATTTGGGTTATTAGTAATGCAAAACTTCTGAATTCAGGTTTTCTTCTTTTAATTTCAAACAAGGGGGACGTTGTACTATGAAAAAACAATGGATTGTAATTACAAAATTAGATACAGTAATAATTTAAAAAACCTGTAACATACTACATAGTACAGTGTTTGGTCCTGGTCATGGAGTTCTTTATGGATAGTAATATATGTGAATGTGGTCTTCTTTTTGGCAAATAATTTTATTTCAATAAAGGACAATCCTATATAGTCCAGTAGAAATTCTGGTGAAGTAAATCATCTTTGGAATAAAGAAAAACAGTACATATGAGCAGTTTAAAACATTATTTCTTAAAGTGTGATTTTTTTTGTTAATTGTAAATTAATTATCTTGTGTGTGTGTATACAATATATACACATATATATACACACACACACACACACTTTATCTGTTCCATTCACTATAACTTTGTAACTGTTTTAAACACAAGAAGACACATGCATTCAATTTACTTTTCAAAAATAAAAACATGTATTTAAGTTTAGCAACCTTTATGGCAATACTGGAGTTTTAACTTAGGACCTTGTGCTTGGCAAGCAGGCACTCTTGTCATTTGTTTCATACCCCCTAACCCTATGTGTGCCCTTTACAAACTGGTTTTTGGGTGTTTTTGTTATTGTTAAGTAATTGTGCAAAGGGGTTACAATTCCCTAAATTAGATTGAGTACAATGCTTTTTGGTCAGTATAGCCTCTTCCTTTGTTCTCCTAAATTGTCTCTCTCCTATACCCATAAGTTACAGAGTCTCTCTCTCTCTCCCTCTCTCTCCCTCTCTCTCCCTCTCTCCTGCTCTCCTTCCTTCCTTCCTTCCTTCCTTCCTTCCTTCCTTCCTTCCTTCCTTCCTTCCTTCCTTCCTTCCTTCCTTCCTTCCTTCCTTCCCTCCTTCCTTCCTCTCCTCTCTCTCCCTTCCTCCCTCCCTCCCTCCCTCTTTTCCCCTTCTCCCCCTCTCCCCCTCTCTTCCCTCCCCCTCTCTTTCTCTCTCTCTTTCTTTTTTCTTTTCTTCTCTTTTTCTTTTTCTTTTTTATCTTTTTCTTTTTCTTTCTTGTGCCCTGTCCTGGCACTTGAACTCAGGGACTGGGTGCTGTCTCTGAACTTTTTTCACTCAAGACTAGTGGTATACCACTTGAGCCACAGTTCCACTTCCAGCTCTTTTTGGTGGCTAATTGTGGAGATGAGTCTCATGGACTTTCCTTTTCTTGGCTGACTTCTAGCTGAGATTCTCAGACCTCACCCTCTCCAGTAGTGAGTTTTATAGGCATGAGCCACTGGCACTTTGAATATAATCTATTTTCTCACCTTTTCTCTTTCCATTTCTGTACATTCCCTTTGCCCATTTCTGCATTCATTTTGATAAAGTCATTTAGTTGCTCAAACTGCTCTTTTTTTCTTTTTTTTGCCAGCCTTGGGCTTGAACTCAGGGCCTGAGTGTAGTCCCTGAGCCTCTTTGTGCTCAAGGCTAGTGATCTACCCCTTGAGCCACAGCCCCACTTCCTGCTTCTTCTGAGTAGCTTATTGGAGATAAGAGCCTCACAGACTTTCCTTTTTAGGGTCGCTTTAAATGGTGATCCTCAGATATCAGCTTCCTGAGTAGCTAAGATTACAGGGGTGAGCCACATGTGCCTGGCTCCAAACAATTCTTAATGTAAAACAAAACTTAATTACCTCTAGAATTTTAAACATGCATTCCTTTTCAGAGAAGGAAGAATGTGATAGAGTGAAAAAAATAAAAAACTTTGAAACTAAGAGTTACAGATCTACCTTGCAGTGGGAAATTCTGTCTGTATCATGTAGATAGTTGTGAAACTAATTTTTAATCATTGGGTAATGTGATGTAGAGATTAAGATACATCTCATTGTTTTCTGTCATTTATGTTTTTATATAAGTTGGGAATTCAAGCAGCTGTTACTTAACACATATTTTCAGAATTCTTGACAGAAAAATATAGCTTTTAAGACTAAGCAATATATTGAACCTCAGGAAACTAACATGCAACATGTCAGGTTTTAAAAACAGGAAAGAGACATGTGAACTCTTTTGAGGGAAAGTACAGGGAGCTGAATGTTGTTAAGTAATCAATTAGAAGAAAAGTAGGGGGACTTGGAAGGTGACTCAGTGGTAGAGCGCTTGCCTTGCATGCCTGAGGCCCTGGGTTCGATTCCTCAGCACCACATAAGCAAAAAGAAAAAAGCCGGAAGTGGCGCTGTGGCTCAAGTGGTAGAGCGCTAGCCTTGAGCTGAAGAGCTGAGGGACAGCGCCCAGGCCCAGAGTTCAGGCCCCATGACCGGACCCCAAAAAAAAAAAAGAAGAGTAGGATAAGAATCCATTTTAGGTGTCACGGACTGCAGGAATAAAGGTCAAAATGTGGGAAAGCACAATTTTAGGTGGGGAGATATGAAACTAGAGATGTAGGTTTCCACCTGCTGCTCATGAATGATCTTGAAGGCAATTATAAAGGAGTCTTCAGATTGATGTGAACCATTAAGAGGCCTAACAAGAGTGATATGGTTAAATTTTTTTCTTAAATAGATCACTTTGCCAGCTGTGTGGAGGATGGATTTGAGGGAGACAAGACTGGAGGCGGTAGTCCAGGTGAGATCCATTGGTAACCTGCACTAAGGCTTTGGAACTAGAAGTGAAGGAGAGGGAATGGTCTTGAAACAAACCCACAGATTCAAGGGGGTTCCCTCCTTTCAAATATTTTTTTTTAAGTTTTAAATTAATGAGGTAAGGGAACAAGCATAATAAAAAAAAATTATAGCTGGCTCGACAGCCATAAGAACAGTCTCTGGTATCTAAAATTCCATAACTGGAACTACAGAGAGAGAGTGTGTGTGTAAAAATCTACCTGGGCTATGGGAAGGAGATGATATCTAACTAAGGTAGTATAGTACAAGGATCAACTGTCTCTGTATATGGCAGATTTTGAAACTGTAAAGCCTTGAGGAAGAAAGTATTACAAGGCTTCAGCTACTGCATATAGTAGAAACTCAAATATCCATCCAGTGGTGCTGATATTTTCTATAACTTTTACAGGAAAAGCAACTCAATTTTTGCTATTTTGGGTTTTTTTGTTTTGTTTTTTGTTGGTCATGGGGCTTGAACTCTGGGCTTAGGCTCTGTCCCTGTGCTCTTCAGCTCAAGGCGAGTGCCCTACGGTTTGAGCCACAGTGCCACTTCCGGTTTTCTAGTGGTTTATTGGAGATAAGAGTCTCACGGACTTTCCTGCCCTGGCTGGCTTTGAACTGTGATCCTCAGATCTCAGCCTCCTGATTAGCTAGGATTACAGGTGAGAGCCACCAGCACCCAGCTTGGGTTGGTTTTTGTAGTGGGACTTGAACTCAGGGCCTTAGCTTTTTTACTCAAGGTTAGTGCTCTAACCCTGGAGTCACAGCTCCTCTTGTAGGTTTTGTTGTTGTTGTTGTTTTGCATAGTTAATTGGTGATAAGAGTCTCAGAGTTTTTTTGTTTGTTTGTTTTTTGCTTTGGTCTGGGCTAGCTTTGAAATTTCATCCTTAGATCTTAGCCTTCTGAGTAAGGAGGATACATGTGTGAATCCCTAGTGCCCAGAGGCAGCTAGATTTTTAAAAATTAACGAAACAATGAACAGTTGTAAATTCTTGTAATGTGAAAAGGTATTTTAGAATGTCTACAGAAAATGTTTTAATACTAAAACATTTTGGAATCCTTTTATGAAAGCAAAGCATGTTTCTTATGCTAAGCAGATAATTTTAAGATCATTTTGAAAGACACACTTTCTATAACTATATGAAACAGGATTTATATATTTTTGGGAAAAACCCACCTTTTTCTATAATTTCTATGGCAAGTGTAAGGATAAGAAAAAGATAGTTTGGAAGGACTTATTTATATATAACCATTCCTTTAAAATTTAAAATAATCATAATATAAAATAATCATATTTAAACAGTTTAAATATAAAATAATTTAATGTAATTTAAAATAATCATAAGATATCCTATATACATCTCTTTTTGCATTTCTGTTTTTCATTTTAAGAAAACTGTACTTTGGGGCTGGGAAGGTGGCTCAGTGGTAGAGCGCTTGCCTTGCATGCCTGAGACCCTGGGTTCGATTCCTCAGCACCACATAAGCAAAAAGAAAAAAAAGCCGGAAGTGGCGCTGTGGCTCAAGTGGTAGAGCGCTAGCCTTGAGCTGAAGAGCTGAGGGACAGCGCCCAGGCCCAGAGTTCAAGCCCCACAACCGGACCCAAAAAAAAAATTAAAAAGAAAAGAAAAGAAAACTGTACTTTTACTATTCATTTCAGCCTGATTTTAGTGAATGCATGTAAGTCAGCTAAAGTGTCATTTTGTGGTCTTTCCTCTGGCTGCCTTTTTATATTTTCTGGTAGTAAATTGCTACTTCATAGTCAGGGAACACTATGTATTTGCTCATTATGATTCTGTAAACTGTACAGTTCTGTCCCCACTTTGGAATCTTAGGGCCCAGCATCTGAAATAGTATGTATATGCTGAATTTAAATGAATGTTCAGCTGTTGAACTAATTGTGATTTTTTTTTTTTGTGGCCGTTTCATGTTTTTTAGAAGCTTTGCACCGCCCCTATGGTTGTGATGTTGAATCCCAGGCCCTGAATGAAGCCATCAGATGGAGCTCCAAGGAAAACTTACTTGGAGCTACTGAGAGTGACCCTAATCTTTTTGTTGCACTTTATGATTTTGTAGCCAGTGGTGATAACACACTGAGCATTACTAAAGGTAAGCCTTCTGTGTAGTAGCATCCTTTCACTTTCCAGTTTTCATTAGTAGTTAAGAAGTAATAAGGGGGATGGGGGGTGGGGGTGGGGTGGCGTGGGGTGGGGTGGGAGGATGGGAAGGGATGGGAAGGGGAAACAAAGGAGAGGCTACAATGCTTGATAAGAAATGTACTCATTATCTTGCCCATGTAATTGTAACCCCTCTGTACAGTATTTTCACAATAAAAATAAATAATTAATTAAAAAAAAGAAGTAATAAGCCTTTTACTAGCTTCTGATTAAAATTAGCCATGTTGATTTGGTACTTTATATATGTATGTGTATATATGTGTGTATACACACACACACACACATATATATGTATATACACACATTCATTCCCCTCTATCATTTTCACTTCCCAGAACTGGGCGGGGAGGGGGGGTATTGTTTTTGTTTTGTTTTCCCTTTTGAGGTGCTTGGACTTACACATCTTAGGTTAAGCCATGTCCTGAGCATCAAATTTTAACATTCAGTCAGATTTACCAATAGCAAAAATTTGTAAAACGATGTTTCTCAGATTGAGGCACAGGTATCTGTTAAAGTGGGTATGATTGCATACATGTCAGGAGTTTTCAAAGACATAGGCAAAATAGTATGTGTCCTCTCCTGTGTCACAATCTTTGGGGCAGTATTGGAGATAAGATAGTGGTAATAAATGTATTAGTGGGGCAGATTATTGGACTTATGCAATTGAAGGAAAATTTTGCATAATGATAATGGATGCAATATATGAATTCAAAGACAATTTCCTTGGATTACAGTGCATTCTATTTTAATTTCCTTTAGTGCAGAGGAGAAATTTGCAAAGCAATGACTCATGTTTTTCTAGGTATAATATTCTTGTTAGTGTTTTCTAAGATGATTTAGTTACCAAGAAGATGCTGATAAAGTCTAGTAATTTCTTGGTCACCAGTTAAAGCAACAACTGGTCTTTTGCTCAAGGACTTAAGTTCAAGGATTTAAGATTCCTTTTATCTCCTAGCCAACAATAGTTTATTTTTAAACATCCTTAAATACCAGGTTTTTCTATTAGGTTGTTATTATTATAAGTGATGTCTAATAAAGATAGTTTATTTTAAAAGATTAAGGAAATATATTTTAGAGAGAATATAAAATTTTAGTTCCTTCTCAAATTTTAGTCCCATTTCGACATGCTAATATTATGATACATTGTTTAAATTCAGAACTGTTTAGCAGAAGGCAGTGCTGCATTTATGCCTGTAGTTCTAGCCACTAGTGAAACTGAGCAAGAGGATGGTTTGAGCCTAGCAGTTTAAGATCTGTCCTTACAAACAACCTCATCTGAGAATGGGGGGTGAGGGAGGGGTTGTTAGGAAGGAAGCAGGGGTGGGAAGGTCAAGAAAAAAGAGGGGAGAAAAAAAAATTTCTTTCTGGAAGCTCAGTATTGATACCCCTAATAGTTTTTCCTGGTTATGAAGACTTTCAGAGTAGAAAATTCTCCTGCTAAAAAGAAGAAAATAAAAAAAACAAGTATATTTGACTCTATTCTAATTACAATGGCCTGTAATTAATTACTAGTTCTCTTTAAGGAAGCAATAGTATAAAATTCCACATACAACTTTGTCTTTAGTTTTTATAGATTTAGTTAAAGAGCAACAACTATTCTTTAGGCTTTCTAGCTGTATACAATATATGTTATATACACATTTGTAGGGGTTGTGTTTGATTTTGTGCTGATACTGGGGCTTGAACTCAAGGTTTGTTTCTTTCAGGCTGTGCCTTTCCATTTGAGCCACAGCTCCACATCTGCCTTTTTTTGTTGTTGTTGTTGTTTTGTTTGTGTTTTAAACTGGTTAATTGGAGATAAGTCTTAGGGATGGTCCTGCCCAGGCTTGCTTTGAATCACTGTTGTCAGATCTGAGCCTTCTAAGCAGGCAGGATTGCAGGAGTGAGACTGGTGCCCTGCTATGTGTTTTTCTCATATTCATGTATCTCAAATGAAATGGTTGAGGCAAAGAGAAAGTTCCCATGATAGAAACATTTCTTTAGGCCATTGAAAAAGATAAATGGGAATCTATCTGGGAATATGGCTTAGTGGTAGAGTGCTTGACTAGTATGCATGAAGCCATGGATTTGATTCCTTAGAACCATATAAACAGAAAAGGCTGGAAGTGGCACTGTGGCTCAAGTGGTAGAATGCTAGCCTTGAGCAAAAGAAGCTCAGGACAGTGGCTATGCCCTGAGTTCAAGCCCCAGGACTGGCAAACACACACACAAACACACACACACACTTCCAAAAATAGATGATTATTAGAATAATTATTTTGAATTGTTCCTTTAGTCTTCACCGACCTGGCAACGTTTGAGCATTATGTTTTAGATTGATTTGGCTTTCTTCTGCTTTCTGATATGAGGGAGGAGGTTTCAAATACCTCTGAAGGCATATGTATTAAAAGATAAGACCCTAAGGCACTGCAAATATTCTTTAGATTAACATTCATATATTGTTAATGATAGATAACTTTCACTTTCCTTCTGTGTTTTGCCAAAAAAATTCTATCTATGCCACAAGTTTAGACTACTGGAGTCTAAACTTGATGCTAACAACTTTAATGGGGAAATTAAGGACATTGAAGTTGCTAGCAAAGATACAGTTAAGTGAGTAGGGTTGTGGTTCCAACTGAAGAGTCTGCTTCCGTTTCCATGTGCTAATTTTAGAGAAATAGATAACAGTGAGTCATTCTTTGTGGGGAGTAGCAGGGAAACTGGGAAACAATTACAATTTTAAATCTTGATTCCTGGAAACATGTCCTTTGGGAGTCCTTACTACATACTTGCATGCTTCCAGCTCTACCTAGCAGTTTTCTTGGTGTAAATTATTTGTTTGTTTACTTATATCAGTGGTTTGTTGCCTTGGTGCCAAGTGAAAATTAGAAGTAACTTTGTATTTCACATTTCTTATTTCTAATCTTATTGCCATTAATACTGGAAGCATTTATCTATAGGATTATTGGTTTGTTTTTGGCTGGTACTAGGGATTGAACCCTGCCTGTGCTTGCTAAGGCATCCTACCACTGGAGCCATAACCCAGTGAAAATCAGTGTATTTTTTAAGTTAATGAATTTTTCTTTTGAAGACTGAGCACTATTTGTTTCTTGCTATTTTGTATTCTTTTTATCTCTGTATGCCATCTTATGATAATACATAATTTGATCAGGACTTTTTTTTTTTTTTTTGGGTCCGGTCATGGGCCTGAACTCTGGGCCTGGGCACTGTCCCTCAGCTCTTCAGCTCAAGGCTAGCGCTCTACCACTTGAGCCACAGTGCCACTTCCGGCTTTTTTCTTTTTTCTTATGTGGTGCTGAGGAATCGAACCCAGGGCCTCAAGGATGCAAGGCAAGCGCTCTACCACTGAGCCACCTTCCCAGCCCTTGATCAGGACTTTTTTTTAAAGGTTGTATATAATTATTTAAAAACCTATAGCCAATATTAGATAAGCCATTTCTTACTTTATTTCTGTGGTTGTAGCTACAAACTAAAACAGCAGTCAGGATGTGAATAGCTATCATCTTTGTTTTTCAATTTTTTTGGGTGTGTGTGGAGGGGGGGGTGGTCATGGGGCTTGAACTCTAGGCCTGGGCACTGTCCTTGAGCTCTTCAGCTCAAGATGAGTGCTCTACCACTTGCCACAGCAGCACTTCAGGTTTTCTGGTGGTTAATTGGAGATGAGTCCATAATCCTCAGGTCTCAGCCTCCAGAGTTGGTAGAATTATAGATGTGACGACTGGCACCCAGCTTGTTTTCAATTTTTTTTTCTTGATGACATTGTCATAAACGTTTGTGATTCATTTCTCAATGAATTTAAACATTTCTTCAATTTGAAACATAGTCTTAACATCTTTCATTCTGTGATAAATTGATGGCCAGGTGAGAAGCTACGAGTCCTTGGTTACAACCAGAATGGCGAGTGGAGTGAAGTTCGCTCTAAGAATGGACAGGGTTGGGTGCCAAGCAACTATATTACCCCAGTGAACAGCCTAGAAAAACATTCCTGGTACCATGGACCTGTGTCACGCAGCGCAGCAGAGTATCTTCTCAGCAGCCTCATCAATGGCAGTTTCCTGGTGCGAGAAAGTGAGAGCAGCCCTGGGCAGCTGTCCATCTCGCTCAGGTATGAGGGGCGTGTGTATCACTACAGGATCAACACCACCACAGATGGCAAGGTAAGAGCTGCCAGTAACGACCTCTAGATGTGGCCTGGCTCCTTTGTAGAACAAATACTCAGAATAACTAAAGGGGGAAGCACTTTTTATGTCTGACATGAAATAATTTGCTAATTTTGTGAGTTAGAGCTTATACTTCTCAAAACAGTTTATTAATGCTAATTAGAAGTACTCATTAATAATTAGTATATTAAGAGTATGTGGATAAGATAGATTTGAAGGTGAAAATTGAAGTCTGTTAGTTTTCCCTATCATGAACATACAAATGTATACTCAGTACTTTGATGTAAGGCTGGAGGCATGGCTAAGTTGAGTTGTTCAAGATCTAGCTAGGAAGCAAAAGTGTCAGCTACCAAGTTTGAGTCTTGGTCTCTAACCAAAATAGAAAAATAACCAATACATTAATGTAAAATTTATAAAAGGTACTTTTAAGAATTAGAATCACCTCTACTAGAAGGTCCACAGAGAAAGAATTTAGACTTCTGAGACTGGTGTGCATTGCTAATCTCTGTCAGTATAAATAGATAATTCTGTTATCTAGCAGTGTGCATATTAGGAAGACCAAGCATGTGAGATGGATTTTTGGAATAAACTGCTGTGTTTTATAAATTATAAAGCCTGAGCTTAAGTGAGGTCTTCTATTTAGGTTGAATCCTTTTTTAAAAAAAATCTTTCTATTTTTTTCTTCTTTATATGATATGCATAGTAGGGGGAGGGCCTGGGTTTTAAAGCCAGCAAACCCAGTTTGCTTTTTAAGTACACAATTAAATTAAATTTCTGGCCTTCCGTAAACCTCAATTTTCCTGTCTGTTATTAAATCCTACCTTAAAAGATTGTTGTTGGGATTAAATGAATAATTTTGTAAAATGTAGCTTCTATGAAGTAGGTGACAATGAGTGACAAAGACACACCTAGCTACTCAGGAGGCTGAAATCTGTGGATTGGTGTTTTAATCCAGCCCTGCCAGAAAAGTCCATAAGACTCTTAATCTCCAATTATCCATCAAAAAATAAAAAAGCCAGAAGTAGTGCTGTGGCTCAAGTGGTAGAGCACTAGCTTTGAGCAAAAAAGCTGAGAAACATTGCCCAGGCCTGAGTTCAAGCCTCAGGACCTGTACTTCTCCTCCCAACCCCCCCCCCCCCCCCCAAAAAAAAAATACTAAAATACTAGTCTCTTTTTAAATTATTTGTTGTTGTTTTTTCCTCAGGTATATGTGACTGCTGAGAGCCGCTTTAGCACCCTGGCAGAGCTTGTTCATCACCATTCCACAGTGGCTGATGGGCTAGTGACAACATTACACTATCCAGCCCCCAAGTGTAATAAGCCAACAGTCTATGGCGTGTCCCCCATCCATGACAAATGGGAAATGGAACGGACAGATATTACTATGAAGCACAAACTTGGAGGTGGTCAGTATGGAGAGGTTTACGTTGGTGTCTGGAAGAAATATAGTCTGACAGTTGCTGTGAAAACATTAAAGGTGGGTTGCTAAAAATTAGTTTTCAGGCATCTTTTTTTGTGTGTGCTGAATCACTTGGAAATAACAGCATGCCCTTCTTTAACTTTGGAACTCTTCCACCCACTGGTGCCAAACACTTCTACAAATTGTGGTGATTAACTGTAGCACCATTGCTGACAATACAGGGGCAGATTATTCACTGCAGTGCAGTGAGACCCACATGTGGGAGAGATTGGTTTTTAGAAGCTGTTGATGTGCATTTTAGTAGGAGTTTAGAAGAAAATTGTAAGTTATTAAAGCAAATCAGGCTATTTCGAGAAGGACCCCTGCTAGTCAGAATTCTTCATGCATTATCTAAGACTCATGAAGTTCCTTATTCTATTCTTTATTTCCCTTATATGCAATTAGATCCCACACACACACCCTCCTTTTTGGGAGGAGTTTTGGTGGTTTTTGGAAACATTATACTAAGAATCCCAGACTAGACTTGAATTCCTAACTTATATGCTTTGTCCTCCAGAATTTCTAGATCACTTCTGTTCTAAAATCCACAGAAATCTTTTTCCAGGTATTATCCTTTCTCCTCTTTAAATATTACAGTATAAAATTGCAGGGTTATGTAGCATTTGTCGTTTCTGAAGCCCTGCATATCCCTCACACGGGCTATTCTTCAGTTTTGAGTAGTGGTCAGTTCTGTTTATTAAATATACCCTACATTTCAAGCAATGTGTGATGCTTGCAACCATGCATTGCTCCATAAGAAATGTGTGGTAAAACAGGAAGATAAAACTATAAACAGCTGGGCTGGGAAGGTGGCTCAGTGGTAGAGCACTTGCCTTACATGCCTGAGGCCCTGGGTTCTATTCCTCAGCACCACATAAGCAAAAAGAAAAAAGCGGGAAGTGGCGCTGTGGCTCAAGAGGTAGAGCACTAGCCTTGAGCTGAAGAGCTGAGGGACAGCGCCCAGGCCCAGAGTTCAGGCCCCATGACCCGACCCCCCCCCCCCCAAAAAAAAAAAAAACCAGAACAAAAAAACTATAAACAGCTAATTACATTGTCTCTTTATTCAAGTATTAAAGTATTTACAGAAGTCAACTGTCAGAAAACTGAATTATCCAATTAAAGTTTCCCATGCTTCAGTTGATTGCAGGACATAATTGTAAAGTTTTCTAGCTCTACTAATTTTTACTTACATTGTATAAGTTTAAGTACATTATTCTTACTTGAGTTTCTATAAAACATATTAGATTGTAATAAGCTTTCTTAAATTAATATCTTCAAAAGCTATTCCTTTTATCTTTGAAACTGAAGATGTGTGAGTTGACTCAATTTAGATGGAAATTTGTCTCCTCTTTTTTTCCCCATTCCCCCCTTTTTAGGAAGACACCATGGAAGTCGAAGAGTTCCTAAAAGAAGCTGCAGTGATGAAGGAAATCAAGCATCCTAATCTGGTACAACTATTAGGTGAGAAAGCCTAAACCATAGTTCCTTCCTCAGATATTTGCTATGTCCCCCATCCCCTTCAGTTGCTTTTTCTATTGAGAGAGAGAGAGAGAAAGAAAAAGAACCCAAGCAATAAAGAAAACAAACTTTAATTATTTTGGGCATTACTAGGATTTGAGATCTAGGGATATGCTCTAACACTTGAACCATGATCCCAGTCCTTCAAATCTTTTTTTAAATCACTATGTTGAAAGCTCCAAGTGTGAATTTACTTTTATAAATTATTATAATAAGCTGGAGATACAGATCTATAGATTAGTGGTAACGTATTTGTTATCATTTATGAGTCCTTATGTTCATCTCTTAGCACCACACATAAAAAACCCCATACAATCAAAGCCATTGTTTTCATCAGTAGGTTCTGTGTTTAAAACAAAATAATAGGGGCTGAAGGTGGCTCAGTGTAGAGCGCTTGCCTTGCATGCCTGAGGCCCTGGGTTTGATTCCTCAGCACCACATAAGCAAAAAGAAAAAAGCTGGAAGTGGCGCTGTGGCTCAAGTGGTAGAGCGCTAGCCTTGAGCTGAAGAGGTGAGGTACGTCGCCCAGGCCCAGAGTTCAAGCCCCTCGACTGGACCCCCCAAAAAAACAAAACAAACAAAATAATAATGGCTTGAATTGATTTCAATATGTATAAAGCTGTGCACCTTACGGCTATCAGATTCTGAATTCAGAACAATTTAACAAGTTATTACTGTAGTAATAACTGTCAAGTACTTTAACAAAATAGAAGCATTAAATAAAAAGCTATTGAAAAGAAGCAGATTAAACATTGGGATCACATATATCAGCTTATCTAAAGAAACTTTTGAATAAATCTTTTTCATTTTTCAAGTTGGGGAATTATCTTGGTTCAAACTGAGCTATTTACCCAAAGGAAATTAGTTCTTGTTTTTCTTAATAAGGAGTCTGCCTTTATCAGATCATTTCACTGATTACAATATTTTTATAAAAGATTAGAACACAGTGCTTATACAGAACTCTTGAAATTTGGCCCTCTTAGCCCATTTGAATTATGAATTTCTTAACAGACTTCTTTTTTTATTTTGCTATGTTAATTACAGAAAATGTGGTGATAATAATAGGAAAGATTACTGCCAAAGTGGACCAAAATATTTTTGAATGACTGTTGGCCTGAGTGGCTGAATATATTTTTTCCTTTCCTTTTTTAAGAAAAGTCAGCCGGGTGCTGGTGGTTCATGCCTAAAATCCTAGCTACTCAGGAGGCTTCGATCTGAGGATCCAGTTAAAAGCCAGGCTGGGCAGGAAAAGCTGTGAAACTCGAATAAACCACCAGAAAACTGGAAGTGGCACTGTGGCTCAAGTGGTAGAGCGCTAGCCTTGAGCTGAAGAGCTGAGGGACAGCACCCAGGCCCAGAGTTCAGGCCTCATGATTGACTCCACCCCCCCCCCCCCAAAAAAAAAAAAATTTCTACTAGTCAGTTTATTTTTGTTTATGTGGGACTAAGGAATTGAACCTAAGCCCTCATGTATGCTAGGCAAGAACTCTACCACTAAGCCATATTCCCAGCCCTGAGTATATTTCTCATAAACGAGTTCTATCCTTCATCTGTCAGGTGTGTGCACTTTGGAGCCACCATTTTACATAGTGACTGAATACATGCCATATGGAAATCTGCTTGATTATCTTCGAGAATGCAACCGAGAAGAAGTGACTGCAGTTGTACTTCTTTACATGGCTACTCAGATTTCTTCTGCAATGGAGTATTTAGAGAAGAAGAATTTCATCCATAGGTAGGTAAAACCTGGCTATTGCCTGAGATTAATCAGGACAGCATTTTTGCTTGGTACGATGATTAAAGTAAAAGTTGCAGATGGTTCGATTTGTTCTTTCTTTCACAGAACCTGTTATGTCATTTCCAACTTCTAAACCTTAAATTGTCAAAACAGGCTTTGTTCAGCACTATATCCATGATCCAATTGCTCCATCTAGTGGCTGTTTTTTAAAAACATCAACTGTCTTAGAAGAGTAAAGTTTATAGAGGAAAAAAATCTGTAGTCTACTATAACCTATCTTGATATGCTTATAAAGACAAATTCATCTGGTCTTCGAACTCCTTTTTGGTAAATACCATACAAGTGATATAAATTAGGCTTTCTATCATGTTAGTGAACATCATAAAATACTTAGTCCTCTCTTACCAACTCTGATTATAGCATAAAGAACCAATAACAAAGCAAGCATTCATGGTCATTTTTCTCATATCTGAATGGGTCCTGTTTCTCACAGAGATCTTGCAGCACGTAACTGCTTAGTGGGAGAAAACCATGTGGTTAAAGTAGCTGACTTTGGCTTAAGTAGACTGATGACTGGAGATACCTATACTGCTCATGCCGGAGCCAAATTTCCAATTAAGTGGACAGCACCAGAGAGTCTTGCCTATAATACCTTCTCAATTAAATCAGATGTCTGGGGTAAGGTTGGCATGTTTTTCTTGATATGTTATTTTATTTTCCTCACAACTAATCTCAGTTCTTTAGAGAGCCTGCCTGTCTCCCTCTCTCTCTTTCTCCCTTTCTCCTTTCTTCCTTCCCTCTCTTTCCCTTCCTCCCTCTGTCTCCCTCCCTGTTATTTCTCTCCTCTCCTCTTGTGTTACCTGTACCATGTCTTGATTGCAGGGTCAGGCCCTCGTGGACTTGCTTGTTCACAGCTGATGTTCTACCACTTGAGCCATGTCTTCAGTCTGACATTTTGCTGGTTAATTGTACACAAAATCTCTTGGACTTTTCTGCCCAGGCTGGCTTTGAACCTTAATCCTTTGATCTCAGCCTCCGGTGTTGCTAGGCTTACTCACATGAGCCATCTTTTATATGATACTGAAAACAGAAGTTCTTTCCCTCTTCCCCCCTCAAAAAAATAATGCTGGGCATGACTGCATTCCTATAACTCTAGCATTTTGCAGGCTGAGGAAGGAGAATCTCAAGTTTGCAGGCAGCCTACGCTACATAGCAAAATACTATCTCAAAAAAATCAAGCTGTGCAGTTCAGCAATAGCATACTTGCCTAGCATACAAAATGACCTAGATTAAATCCAGAAAAAGGAGAAAGTACTAGAACTAGATGCAGTATTACATGTCTATACTTCTATTTTATAAGCTGAACTGGGAAGATTGCTTAAACCCAGGAGTTTGAAACCCACTAGGGCAACATTGTGAGAGCCTCCCCTCCCTTTCTCCCTATCAAAAAAAGAAAAAGAAAAATAATGCCTTCAAAGGCATTATAATGTATTTCTCACCTTGCTTTGCAGTTTTAATAGTGCTTTGTCAAAAGCCATGATAAAGTTGTTTTTTTTTTCTAGAATTTTGCCTTGTTTCTACTCCGTGAGGAATAGAATGACTTGGTAAGGGCCTAATAGTTTGAACAAGCTGATATTTGGATTATGAGCCATAGAAATAGTTAAAGGATTCTAAGTCAACTTATGTGAGAGTGTGTGTGTGTGTGTGTGTGTGTGTGTGTGTGTGTGTGTGTGTGTGTGTTTATGTGTATGTTGGTCCTTTGAGTAGAACTCAGGCCTGGGCACTGTCCCTGAGCTTTTTTTGCTCAAGGCTCTATCACTTGAGCCATAGATCGACCTCCAACTTGTTTTTGGTGGTTACGGTTAATTGGAGATAATAGTCTCAAGGTCTTTCCTTGCTGAGCTAGCTTAAAGCCATGATTCTAAGATATCAGCCTCCTGAATAGCTATGATTATAAGTAGGAGCCACCACCTAGCCTGTCATTTTTTTTGGTGGGGGGCTCCAGTCATGGGGCCTGAACTCTGGGCCTGGGCGCTGTCCTTCAGCTCAAGGCTAGTGCTCTACCACTTGAGCCACAGCGCCACTTCCGGCTTTTTTCTTTTTGCTTATGTGTTGCTGAGGAATCGAACCCAGGGCCTCAGGCATGCAAGGCAAGCGCTCTACCACTGAGCCACCTTCCCAGCCCCTAGCCTGTCATTTTTTAATTAAAAATCTTGTAAGAAATTTTGTCACAATCAAGCTGTAAGAAAATAAGGTCCTTCCCCCTTCTCTCCCTTCTCATTCCCCTTCCTCTTCTCCTTTCCCCCCTTCCTTGTCTCTTCTCTCTCCCTCCCCTCCCCTCCCCTCTTCTCTCCTCTCCTCTCCTCTCCTCTCCTCTTTCCTTTTCTCTCTCCTCTCTTCTCTCTTTTCTTCTTTTCTCTTTTGCATGCTACTAGAGTTGGAACTCTTAAGAGTTAGAACTCTTAGCTTGCTTGTTCAGCTGGAGCTCTACCACTTGAGCTACAACTCAGTTTTTGCTGAGTATTTTGGAGATGAAAGTCTAATGGACTTCTCTGCTTAGGCTGCCCTTCAACTTAGATCCTTTAGCTTTCAGACTCAAGTAGGATTATAGGCAAGAGCCATTGGTAATAGCTATGATTGCTTTTCTCTACTGTATTTTTTAATTGCTTTCAAATGAATCGTATGAGGCTTTGATAAAAAAGACTGTTCTATGAATAGTTGAATTATGCCACATACTTTTTATATTGGTCATAATTTATTATTCTACATTGTAGTAAGGAAAAGCTAAATAAAAGTGGGAAGTTTATAATTTTTTCTTCAGTATTCCTTACCAGTCCATATTGTAAGAACTGATACCGTATTCACTACTGTTGTAACAATTTATGACTATGACTCAGAATTTTAAAGAGTGGTTACTTAATAGATAATACATCAGATGAAAAAATAAACTTTTTTTCATTCCTTCTTGTAGCTTTTGGTGTTTTGTTGTGGGAAATAGCTACCTATGGGATGTCACCATATCCAGGAATTGACCTATCTCAGGTTTATGATCTACTAGAAAAAGGATATCGAATGGAACAACCTGAGGGATGCCCTCCTAAGGTTTATGAACTTATGAGAGCATGTGAGTATTTTTGCGTGGTTTAATTTTGAAACAGTAATTCAGTATGGTTACCAAAATCAGAAACAGTTTGCTAGGTTTGAATCTAGACTCATATTTAAAGAGCTTGCACAACATTTGATACACCATTGAGTCTAATTGGAATCCTAAGAATAATTGTCTGTGGTCCAAAATAATTGCCCAGTTATTTTTAAAATTGTATCTTTAGTAAGCAATTGGGTGTACAAATTAAGTTAGGGAAGGAATGCTTTCAGCTACATGAAATATTTGCTGAAGAGTATAGATAATGTATAAAAGTAACCTCAGTGATGAGTAAATAAAAAGATGTGCCTGACTATAGCTCAAGTGGTAGAGAACTTGCTGAAGAGCTGAAGGACAGCGCCCAGGCCCACAGTTCAAGCCCCATGACCGACCAAAAAAAAAAAAGGAAAAAGAAAGATGTGCCTGAAGATTATAAATAAGACAGCAAATAGTAAATTGCAACTGTTTGAACATAAACCTTTATATATAATTTTTCATTAAGTATTGACAAATATGTACTTTTCTCATTTCCTATTAAATTTGTACTTGATTCTGTGTTACATTAAATTTGAAGACAGGATTCATTTGCTTCATCTTTCTACTTCTTAAGAAAATGTCATTTTTTTTCTCACTAATTTCCATTGGTCTCTGTGTAGCATTGGGGAGTGGGCTCTTAAACCTCTATGTCTGGACTGAGAAGCAACTTCATTAGTACCATAGCGAATATGCATTAACTTCATGATGAGTTGACTTCATTTTCTTGGCTGCCATGGATATGTAGACTGATACAGTATTGATATTGTGGTATTGTGACATACAGGCTGGAAGTGGAGCCCTGCTGACAGACCTTCTTTTGCTGAAACTCACCATGCTTTTGAAACCATGTTCCATGACTCCAGCATTTCTGAAGGTGAGAATCTAATAGATTTATCATTGACTGCTAGGTGGATGTTAATAGATGATGTCAAATACTTTTTTGCAAAAATAGTTCTTATACTTTCTGTTTGAAGATCATGAGTTAACTATTTTTGCAGTGAGTTTATTGCCCTTTATTGTGTTGTTGCTTCTTTTGCATTTTTCAATTATATCTCAATTTTTCAATTATATCTTATTGAAAGGGTTTTTTTTTGGGTCCAGTCGTGGGGCCTGAACTCTGGGCCTGGGCACTGTCCCTTAGCTCTTCAGCTCAAGGCTAGCACTCTACCACTTGAGCCACAGTGCCACTTCCGGCTTTTTTCTTTTTGCTTATGTGGTGCTGAGGAATCAAACCCAGGGCCTCGTCGAGCATGCAAGGCAAGCGCTCTACCACTGAACCACCTTCCCAGCCCCTTGAAAGTATATTTTAACTTGAAATTAGTTCACTCTCTCCCTAAGGAAAATGAATACATTTACTAGTTCACTACCTTTTAACACTACAGTACAGAGAAAAGGGAAAAATAAAGATCAAAAATAGTCCAACTCTCCATTTTGCAACTGAGTTACCTCTCAAATACTCCAACTTTTGGCTGGGTGTTTGTAATTCCATATACTTGGGTAGTTATAGTAGAAATATCTCAATACAAGGCCAGTCATTGGCAAAAACGAGATCCTATCTGAAAAATAACTTAAAAACAAAAATATTGTTGGGGGCATGGCTCAAGTTGTAGACTACCTGCATATCAAGAGTGAGATCCTAAACCTATACTTACGTACTCCCCCAAAATAGCTTTCTGTTTTTCTTTCCTTCTTCCTTTTTTTTTTTTTTTTCTTCTTTTTCTAGTCCTCAGGCTTGAACTCAGAGGTTGGGCATTGTCTCTGAGCTTCTTTTGCTCAAGGCTAGCACTTTACCACTTGAACCACAGCGCCACTTTTGGCCTTTTCTATTTATGTGGTACTGAGGAATTGAACCCAGGCCTTCAAGTACTCTACCACTAAGCCACATTCCTAGCCATAAAAGTCAGCTTTCTAAACTACAGATACCAAAGCAGAGCATAGTCATAAAAGCAGTATCTGGGAATCCCATTTCTAGAAATATATCTGAAGAAAGTCAGATTAAAAATAAGATTTAGCAACAAGAGCATAATTTCTTATATTGAAAAATAAGGGTTTGGAGCTGGGAATAAGCTGTAGCTCAAGTGGTAGAGTGCTAGTCTTGAGCAAAAGAAGCTCAGGGACAGTGCCCTAGGCCCTGAATTCAAGCCCCAGGACTGACCAAAAAAAAAAAAGAGAGAGAGAAAGGAAGGAAGAGAGAGAGAGAGGAAAGAAAGAAAAGAAAAAAAGAAAGAAAAAGGAAGAAAAGGGTTTGATTTGGTGATATATGACTGAAATCCTAGCTTGGAGGTAGAGACAGGAAGTTTTGTTGTTGTTGTTGTTATTGTTATTGTCCTATGGTTGAACTCAGGGAATGAATGACTACTGTCCCTGAGCTTTTTTGCTCAAGGGTAATGTTCTACTACTTGAGCCCAAGCTCCACTTCTGCCTTTTTTCTGGTCAATTGAAGATAAGAGTCTCACAGACTTTCATGCACAGGCTGGCCTTGAACCATAACCCAAAAGAACATCCCAGTTGCCTATAATAGATGAATGGATCCAAAATATGTGATGCCTATGCTATAAGAAACAGAGAAGCTTAAAAGGCCAAATTATGAGACTTTATTGGAGAATACTCTTGTCTCAAAGACAAACACCGAAGTGCAATACCTATGTGCATCTGATTATATAACATAATGTGAACTTCAGGAAATGGATATAAGAGCTTTTTGTTGTTGGTTTGTTTTCCTTTTTTTTTTTCTTCTTTTCTTGTTATCTGTCTTTGGGAGGATGAGGGCACAGAAATGGAGGTACCAAGGGTGAACAATGCATCAGTAGACACTATGTAGAAAATGAAATATTCAACTTGTGGGTAGGGATGGGAGGGAACAACTGGGAGAAAGCGAGGGAAGGGGTGACGTTGTCCAGAAAGAAGTGCGCTCTTTACCTGATTTATTGAACTCTAACCACTCTGCACATCACCTTTATAATAACAACTATTATTATTAATTTTTTTTGTTGGTTGTTGGGCTTGACCTTGAGGCCTGGGTGCTGTCTCTTAGCTCTTTTTGCTTAAACCTAGTGCTCTACCTCTTGAGCATCACTTCATTTTCTCTTGGTTAATTAGAGATAAGAGTCTCACAGACTTTCCTGCCTGGGCTGGCTTCAAACCGTGATCCTCATATCTCAGCTTCCTGAGTAGCTAGGATTACAGGCGTGAACCACCAGAACCCAGCTATAATAACAATTTTAAAAAGGAAGAAAAAAAAAAAAGACCTGGGAACTTGCCCCAAAAGGAAGAATGCTTGCTTGCCCAGTATGCGTGAAGCCTTGGGTTTAGTTGCCAGTACAAAAAACAAAAAGATAACCAAATGACCAATATGCATTTGAAACCATGTTTAACATTATTCCCCACAGGAAGTATAAAGTGAACCACCATCTACCACAGTGTGCCTATAAGAAATTAAGATCACACAAAAAACATTAGCAGCATCTAATTTGGCAAACAATGCAGAGTAACCAACATTTTTTTGTATATTGCTAGTGTGAGTCCAGGTTATAATAGCTATTTTTGGACAATTCGGCAGGACTACATAAAGTTGTATTACACGTACCCTATGAGACCTCCTGAGATTCCCGTGCTTATGCTTCACAGATAATATGCAGAAAGCTCTGAACCATAAAACAAATGGCAGCTTCTTCCTAGCAGCATGTTCTTACTTGCTAAAAGTTGGAAATAGCCTGAATATCTTACCAAGAGGAATTCAGATGAATTTAGCTATGTTTACATATAGGAATACTATCCATTCATGAGAAAGAAACCTCATCTTATGTGACAATTTGTGAATTTATAGACATATCTTGAGCAAAGTAAGCCAGAATCTATACTCTAGGATTCCATTTATACATTTCATTTTATTTATTTTTGTTTACTTTTGAGATGGTGTCTCACTGGCTTTCCAAGTTGGTCTCAAATTTACTCAACTCAAAGGATTCTGTAGCCTGTCTCCTGTCTAGCTGGGACTCTATGCGTGTTCCACTGTACCTGGCTGCTTTTATATACTTCTCTACTCCCCATTGTTCTTCAGTTGTATATCTTCTATGTAGAAAAAAATTCTCTTTCTCTGCCATAGAATTGTCTTTATTGATCCTTTTGTGGTTTTCTCAGAGGTAGCCGAGGAGCTGGGGAGAGCTGCCTCCTCGTCATCTGTTGTTCCATACTTGCCCAGATTACCAATACTTCCTTCTAAGACAAGAACACTGAAGAAACAGCTGGAGGACAAGGAGAACATTGAAGGACCCCAAGATGCTACAGAAGATCCTGCTTCCAGTTCAGCACCAGGTAGAATCAAAACAGAAACTTCCTTAAAGAGCCTCATGGCTTGATGCTGTTGTTCCTGTTTTCATACACTTTTTGTCTAAGGACAGCAAGACACTCTGGTCTTTGGCCCTTTATTGCTAGTGCTGGCAGTCCTTTCTAAGGCCTGATTATAATTTTGTCATCCACTCCATTAAGCTCCTGGCTCCCACATAGATCCCATGCTTCCAATTTGCAAGGGAGATGGTGGTGGGGAGGAAGGAGTCTTTTACTGAGCCTTCTAGATAATGCCACTTTAAGAAAAAGGATGAATATTGAGGTGATAACCAACAGGTACATCACATTTGGAACATTAATCACTGTGAAATGATAGTCTGTTACTTAATTTCTTCTGAGTAATGGCAGCACCTGGCAATAAATACTGACAGATCTTTTATAAGGGAGCCTTAGTCACTGTAATAGTTTCACTTCTTGTCTTTCACATTGTTGATTGTCTGTTTCTCATCAGGGTTCATTAGAAGTGCACAGGCCTCCTCTGGGTCCCCAGCACTGCCTCGAAAGCAAAGAGACAAATCACCTAGTAGCCTCTTGGAAGATGCCAAAGAGACTTGCTTCACCAGAGATAGGAAGGGGGGTTTCTTCAGCTCCTTCATGAAGAAGAGAAATGCTCCCACACCCCCTAAACGCAGCAGTTCCTTTCGAGAAATGGAGAATCAGCCCCACAAGAAATACGAACTCACGGGTAACTTCTCATCTGTTGCTTCTCTACAGCATGCTGATGGGTTCTCTTTCACTCCTGCCCAGCAAGAGGCGAATCTAGTGCCATCCAAATGCTATGGGGGGAGCTTTGCACAGAGGAACCTCAGTAATGATGACAGTGGAGGGGGTGGGTGGTCTGGCATCACAGGCTTCTTTACACCTCGCTTAATCAAAAAGACACTTGGCTTACGAGCAGGTAAACCCTCAGCCAGTGATGACACTTCCAAGCCTTTTCCAAGGTCAAACTCTACATCTTCCATGTCCTCAGGGCTTCCAGAGCAGGACAGGATGGCAATGACCCTTCCCAGGAACTGCCAGAGGTCTAAACTCCAGCTTGAAAGGACAGTGTCCACCTCCTCTCAGCCAGAAGAGAATGTGGACAGGGCCAGTGACATGCTTCCAAAAAAATCAGAGGACAGTGCTGCTCCAACCAGGGAGAGACCAAAAGCCAAACTATTGCCCAGAGGAGCCACAGCCCTTCCTCTGAGAGCTCCCTCTGGGGATCCAGCCATTACAGAGAAGGACTCTTCAGGGGTGGGGGTGCCTGGAATAGCAGCTGCCCCCAAGAGTAAGGAGAAGAATGGTGGTACACGACTTGGGGCGGCTGGAGTCGCAGAGGATGCAGAGCAGCCGGGTTGGTCTTCTCCAGCTAAGGCTGCAACTATCCTCCCAACCACTCACAACCACAAAGTGCCAGTCCTGATTTCACCCACTCTGAAACACACTCCAGCTGACGTGCAGCTCATTGGCACAGACTCTCAGGGGAATAAATTCAAGCTCTTGTCTGAGCATCAGGTCGCATCCTCTGGAGACAAGGACCGACCCCGACGGGTAAAACCAAAGTGTGCCCCACCTCCACCACCGGTGATGAGACTACTGCAGCATCCATCCGCATGCTCAGACCCTGCAGAAGAGCCAACTGCCCCGACTGTAGGACAGCCCACTTCAGAAACCCAGGAAGGAGGGAAAAAGGCAGCTACTGGAGCTGTGCCTAGCAGTGGGAAACCTGTGAGGCCAGCGATGCCTCCACCTCAAGTGCCTCTGCCCACACCTTCCATCTCGCCAGCCAAAATAGCCAACGGCACAGCAGGTACTAAAGTGGCTCTGAGAAAAACCAAACAGACTTCTGAGAAAATCTCCGCAGACAAAATCAGCAAAGAGGCCCTGCTAGAATGTGCTGACCTACTGTCCAGTGCGATTACGGAACCTGTACCCAATAGCCAACTGGTAGACACTGGACACCAGCTGCTCGACTACTGCTCAGGCTACGTGGACTGCATTCCCCAGACTCGCAATAAATTTGCCTTCCGAGAGGCTGTGAGCAAACTGGAACTCAGTCTGCAGGAGCTGCAGGTTTCTTCAGCAGTTGCTGGTGTACCTGGGGCAAACCCTGTCCTTAATAACTTATTGTCATGTGTACAGGAAATTAGTGATGTGGTGCAAAGGTAGCCACTGTTAGCCTAACAGGAGATGCACACATTTCTGAGGGAGAAGGACTTTATTTCCCTTTGATCTTATTTTCAAAAAAATGAGACTGATACTTGAGTGTGTTTATGTGAAGTACCTCAGATCCCTGGGTTCTCACGTTTACAGGTTCATCTCAAAAAAATCACAAAAGGCAAGCCACATACGTATGAGATTGGTAAATTCAGTGAAGGCAAGACAGTGGTGGAAAGCGTTGGAAAATGCACTGGAAAATCAGGGAACTTGTGTCTGTCATAGAAATAAGAAACATAGCCCTTTCCTGCCTGGAAGAGCAAACATGCTAGTCTGGCTGCACTCACTTGGGTATTGGTCTGGGCTCTGGTAGTATAATTGTGCTCCAAATCTCTTTAACGGTTTAGGAGAACAGAAGAAAAGTACCATGAAAAGTTCTATTCAAGATTGTTGGAGGTGGCTTTTGGCCTTGCTTCCACAGGTCAATGCTGCTGTAGTAAGAACTGCAAATCAGATTACAAGAGTATAAAACAAGGAAATATGGCCCTGTCTTTCTGTTCCTATCCTGATTTCCATTGTTGCATTAGTTGGTACAGGAACAAAGAATGCTGAAAAATTTACTGAGGGAGGTTAAAATCTCCTCCAAAAATCTTACATTAAAAGCAGTCATTTCCCCCAGTCTCTAGTATATTGTTTACTATGGACCAGGATCGACTTTCTGCTTTGTTGGTGACTATCGGTAAACCTTACATATAACTGTCTATTAATGGTTCTTCTCTGTCCCTTGCCAGGCAAGCTGTCTTCCTTTATTTCTAGTAGCATTCAGGGCATTAACCAGCATTAATTTTGAAAATAGTGGCCACTACAGGTTTTCACAGGGAAGCCTTTTCTTACATAGTACCCTTGCACACTGATAAATTGGCCAAGGACATGAGCCGTTGAGTATTTAGCGAAGATCCAGCTAAGCCAAGAAACTTGCGACTGAATGGAGAAACTAGGTTGATCAATATGGCTTTTTCCTCTGTACCTTTATTTTCCTTTCTCACCTTAAACCCAATCTGAGTGGACCTAGGGAAAGGTATTCTCTCAGTTACATATTTTCACATGCTCTTCTCTGACCACCTACTTGTCCCACCCCCATGATTATACTTGTTTGTGTCATTCATAATGGGAATATTATTTTGTAATTCACCTCAATTTAATTACAGAGTACAGATTTGGAGGAATTTGTGGGTTTTGGAGTATCAGTTAGTCCCTGGGAAGCCAATAACATACTCATCAAATGTGTTTGCCCTAAAAAAAATAGTCATTTCTCTTCACTACAGTTAAAATTATGGACACTAAGGAGGATGGTGTAGAACTGAATTTAATGGGTTAGACATTAATAATGCTCTTTTACCAGGTTTTGCTCCAGTTTCTGCTTTTTTTTTTTTTTTTTTTTTAAATGAACACTGTATTCCCCAAGGAGAACCCAATGCAAAATATTTTTATTTTTTTCTTCCAAATAATTTCAGATGTAAGATAGGAATTCAACATTGAACAGCATGTTTTCTTCCTGGCTTTTTTATTGTTCTGCTGCCAAACCACAGTCCCATCTTTTAATCTATTAAATGAAGGTAGTAATACATGTTCTCAAGGGTGTTTTGCAAATAATTATTTAGCTACCCCATGGAGAGCATCTCTGAAAATCTCTATAGTTCAGTGCTGTTATAGTGGATTGTTTTTTATTTTCTTGGCCGAGCAGCAGGTACTAATGGAATTTAGACCTGTTGAGCTTATATTGAGAATAGAATACTAAGGGTAAAACTATCTTGGATAGAGTTGGGCAACTTTGTCCAGGGAAGAAATTTTCATTTTCATTAGAAAGATTCTTTTTGCTGCTCCAGAAGAGGCTCCAATAACAGAAGAACTGGGGAGAAAGAGGCAGGACTGGTCATCTCGATAGATTTCAGATGATCTCTGTGGGTTTATTACCTACAGCAGCTAGTGTGTAGCTTAGTTTCCTTACAGTAGTTGGGAAAGACCTAGAATTTAAAAATCCAACTCTTAACCTTTTTCCTTGGCATCCTCATCCCCATCTGTGTCCTTAAACTTGAATTTATTTTAGCAGTTTTCAACCTTCTAATAGTGGGCAGGAGGAATTTCAAATTTTACAATATTATTATGCTGCTTTTTACATTTATCCCTGTCATTATGGGATGTGAGTTAAAGGATTATAATTATTTTCAGGGGATTTTTTTTTTTTTTTTTAACAAGGGCTCTGTTTTTTCCTTAGGAGTTCTGAAAATAAGCCTTGGAGAAATACTGCTTACTATATTTGAGCTTACATATTCTCTGCTTTTCTCACCACAGCTGAGAAACAGCCAGGGCTGTTTCTTACTCAGGGCAGCACCTAATTGTTCTTGCTTCTAGTCGGTGCTCAGTAAATTCATAAATTTAATTTTTAGTTTAACTATAAGTCTGCCATGATTGCCATCAACTATTCTAGCACTCCCCATTCATGAAATGCTTGAACTTTTTAACTTCAGGGGTTGAGGGTTTGGGATTCAGGTTAAAGAGACACTGTCAACTTGTTATAGAAGTATCATTTAGGTGGCTCGTTTTCCTACGTTCAGAGCCTCAGCTCAAAGAAAAAAGCCTCGTGTAAATTAAAAGGTTTGAATTCAAGCCAGAGAAAACTGCTTTTAGAAACTGAACTTTTAGTTAATTTTATCTATCTAAAAGCAATACAGAGAATAAGAGAAAAGTTTCTTGTACAACATATCAGCTAATTTCTAATTGGTTATATGCATATCCGCATTTTGGATGCTACAGCTTGATTCCTTTCATCTACTCTTAATAGGATTTCAGTTTAGATCTTCTGCCTTAAAACCCAGTGTTTTATCTTGAGTACTTCTTGGTTGTGCTTTACATAAATTACTCTTTTGGAAGGCTTTGTGTAAAATTACAATTTCATATTAACTGAAGCCTCCCATCATTATTTCTAGAGATAGAGTCATAAATTTTTTTGCTCTCAGCCAGGAGTGGGTGGCACATGCCTGTAATCCTAGTTATTAAAGAGGTTGAGAGAGATCTGTGGATCAAAGACAGCCCAGGTTGAAAGTGTGAGATTAACTAGAAAAAGTTGGAAGTGATGGTAAGGCTCAAGTGGTAGAATGCCAGTATAGGAGAGAGGTAGGAAAAGCTGAATGAGAGCACAAGCCCTGAGTTTAGTTCACACACACACACACACACACACACACACACACACACACACACACACGTGTACGTGCACACACACACATTTGCTGTCTCATAAACAGTTTATTTTGCACATGTTCTTATAGTGAATTGAACATGGTACCAAGTTGTGAGCTCTATTATGCAAGAAATGCATTCTGTCTTTTCTAATGACTTCTGCAGAGAGGTTATTCTAGTTTGTACTGGCCCTTTCCTACTCTCATTTCTAGGTTTAAAATAGAAATTTTCTTACACTTTTAAAAGTTTGGTTAGTAAAACAGTTCATAGTTAATACAACATGCTGCTTTTGGTAAGGCCCAGTTCATAATTATTTAACTAAAATCACAGAGATTTTGTGTCTAAAGATGCAGTATAGACAATGGTTTAGAATTTGAGCTTTGAAGCCAGTCTAGAAGGCACATCATAATAACCTTCCTGAGCCTCAGTTTCCTCAGTGCAAAACAGGGATAATAATTGTAACTACCTCAGGGTTGTTGTAAGGGTTAAATGGTGTAGTGTGTTTAATACGCTTAGCTCAAGTGCCTGGCAAACACTGAGCACTCCATAAATGTTAACTACTGTTATTAACACATAATCCACGACTGCAACAGCATCATTCCTTAGGGTTTTGTTTTTGTTTTGTTTAGAAGAAAAACAGATAAATTAGCCCCACTCCACATCAGAATTCCCAGTGGAGTGAAGTCTCAGTCATTGTGTTGTCCAAGAATCTCTTGGTAAGTTTCAGACTCCATCACTGAGAATCGTCAATGCCCTTTGCTTTATATATAGTCCAAGGAACTAGAGAAGAGGATAGTTAAGTTACTTGTCCATGGTCTCAAAATAGTAGCAGACAAGGTTTGTATTAAGTCTCCTGATTTTGGGTTACAAGATCTTTCTACCATATCTTCTACCTTGTGAGACACTGCTAAGAAGTGACTCTTGTTAAATAGACAATCAGCCCTCAGTGGTGCACACTATCTAAAGCACATAGGCTCCCTGGCATGCTCTGACCCTAGGGGCTTAAATGTTGATTGAGTAATGGTAACATTAACAATGCAAACATCCAGCAAACACAGTCATTGAAAGATCATCTGAGCTTTTTCTCTTAGCCCTCCTCAGCAACAGCAATCTGCATGGTGGTGGTAAAGATTATCAACTACCAGCCTAGTTTTAAAATTATAGTTCTACATTCCTTTTTCATAAATGAAAAAGTTCGGTATCTTAATGACTATTAATATATATGAAAGCACTTTGAGAAAGTATCAAATGTAATATAACTATAAAATTGTATTATGAATATCTGGGTAGAAGATAAAACATTTGATTAGATGCTGATTGACTTAAAGGCTTTCATGTGTTGGGGACATACAGAATATATAAAGAATCACCTCTATAATTTATTTGTAAATAGGAAAGTGCTATGAATATGTGCAAGTATAGCAAATGTTTTACTGAAGTTACAGCTCCGAGCTGAATAACTTGGAAAAATTTGGAATGAATATGTTGGTTTAATTCTTTAAAAGTAGTATAAATGATGTCACACACCTGTAATCACAGCACTTGGGAGGTTGAGGCAAGTGGATCATAAATTTGAGGCCAGCATGTACTACATAGACCATGTATTACAAAAAAAAAAAAAAAAAGGAAATAAAGTATACTGGTAAAATACAGAGGGTCCAGGGTTCTAAGAAATGAGGTCCTTAGAAGGAGTTTTTCTTAATCCTGAATATTTTCACACTTCATGTTCCGCTATTAATTAGCATCTTCCGTGTGGTAGGAGCACATTCATTACCTATCACGTTGACAGTCATTTTTAACCTATGTCCTGCATGGTCTTGTGGGTTTGGTTTTCTTTTGTGGTGGTGGGGAGCGGGATGGCCATAGAACCAGTGCCCTTGAGGAATCACTTAGTTTCCTACTAGTTATAAGTGACACATTTGTCATCTTTTTTTCTATGAGGAATAGCTGAACTTAATTTACTTATTCCATTGGTAAAAGTGTCACTGAAAATTCCAGTAATGGCTATTTTTGAGTTTTAGCTACACTTTTCCCCGACCTCTCCCTCCTTCCCACTTCTGCTGTTGATATTGTTATTATTAGGCTCTTCCTACCTCCCACTTCCAGGAGTTCAGATCGGGCTGTTTTGTCCTTGATGATTTTAAGGTTTCATTATCTTGCTTGCATTGATTTGCTGTCTCTATTTGGTGTCAGTTTCTGTGCACTATGCACTGTTCATGGCCAGTCCTTTATATGTAAAAAGTCTCCTGCCCTTGAGTTTATTCTCATGTATTGATAGACACCAGCGGCTGATAGCTTTAACCTTTTCTTTCTTCACTCCAGTAGCCTGGATACTTCGAAAATTTTAACTTCCATTGGGGAATGGTGAACATTTAATTAAGAGAGCTAGAAAAAAGTAGCTTTAAAGGAGCTCATCATACCTTGCTGATACAGGTTG